GCCCTGGGGCCGTAGGTTGCCGACCCCTGCTCTAGATATTACATCCCCATACCACACCATCTGTTTTCATTTCCACCCCCAAGAAACTAGCTAGTATTAAAATGAACAATAGCTCAGGCTGAGGACTGTAAAGGACATTTCAAAGATATTAAGAGCAGCATTTAGTGCACTGTCTTACAGTCCACAGAAGTAAAATCGAAAAGGGCTCAGAAGCAGGGCCTTTTGGGAGGTGGTGGTGCTCTGGAATACTACACCACAAGAAGCCTGACAATTCAGACTTTTAGGGGAAAGGTGACAATGTGTTTGTTTGGTTGTTGTTGTTGTTGTTACCATTATTATTATTATTTCAGAAAGCTGTTATGTAAATGAATATGGTTTGTCAAGATCCAAATGACTATGGATGTATTTCAGCAAATCCCTACATTAATTCCCGTTTTTATTTGTTTTTATGCATTGGGTTTTGATTAAGTGTAGGAGCTCACCCCACTATTGTCTCATTTTCCTGGTGTAAAGTGCTCTCTGTTCAAAATGTTGTTCAATTACTTCTTTGTTCAAAATATTGGTTTTCCAAATGGGAGAACAATGCAGAATTGGCTGTACACATAAGAGAGCTAGAGACTTTTCCTCCCAATGACAAAAGGAATAAAAGAAAGTATATATATGAAAAGCAAAAAGAATTCACCTGCTGAATCTTCATCTTTCGTTGACCAGCTGTAAATGAAGGAGGATCACATTCCTCTTCCAAATCAATTGTCATGAACTCATCTATTGTTAGCTGACTTGCAGGTGTATCTTCAAACTCTGTAAGTCTAAAAGCATAAATATACAAATTAGTGTAAGCATTTCTATACATTATTCTCATAGAGACACACCAAAAGGGATTTAAAGCTATTTCCCCACTACATAACAAAAATTAACTCAGCCAAAACCAATTTAAATAATTAATAAAATTCTTCTTCCCGTCAAGTCAGTGACTATAAGTGAACTTCACTAGTACCAGGTATCCATTAAAATATAGGGGGAAAGTTTTTACATTCATCTCAAAAAAGGTCACAATGACCTTTTTTTAAAAAAATAAGTATTTTAATTTAAAAATTACAGTAATAAGTACAGAAATTAAGGGGAGGAAAATAGAAAAAAGAGTGCAAGAAAAAGGAGGAGGAGGTGGAAAAGAGAGGAGACTCCCGATCTTCCTTTCAGCAGTTATATATACTTAGAATTATTCATGCCTCACTCTCTTAATTTCAACATTTTCTTCTCTCAGTAACCTATTCTATTTAATCATCAAAGATCACCATGTCAAAAAAAAAAAACCAGATACGGTAATAAACAATACCTTCACACTGAAAAGTTTTAACATTCAAACAAGAGGCATTATCCAAGTGCATAAAATAAATAAAGAGCATATCTGTGTGAATATTACCTGGCATTAGTAAATTATTAAAATATGAGGAATGATCAGTACTAGTAAGGCAATGCTACTTATTCTGATGAATTTTTTTGAACATTCTGTTCTTGTAAGGTAAAGAGAAAGGCAACCAGAATAATCAAGAAGCTTGATGAACTTCCTTATGCTAGTGGAGCAAAGAAGACTGGACTCTGTCTCTTTTTTTACACAACTACTTCCTTATGGTGACCAGTTATACTGTTTCCACATTTCTGCATAGAAAAAAGGTCCAGTGGAGAGGGTGGGATATGGCAGACATAAAAACTAAATATGGTATAGAAAAGTGAATTCAGTGGACTCCCTCTTTCATAATACTATAACCTAAGGAGAGATATCTGAATGGTGAGAGATTAAGAATGCATAAAAGGAGTATTATACAGCTATAACTCAGCAGATATAACACAGTATCAGTCTTCAGAATTCACTACTGTAAGCTGCAGTGGTAGCTGATAGCTTGGTTGGCTTTAAGGGGAGTTAGACAAATTCATGGAAAATAAGGGTTCTCAGTGACTACAAATCAGGATAGCTATATAATAATATCAGAGGCAGTAAGTTTAAATCCCTTTAGTAGGAGGGGGCTGTAAGACTTGTGGACCTCCCACTAAAGCATCTCATGTAAATGGGCCTTTGGTCTGCTCCACCATGGCTCCTCTTATGCTATTACACTAAGTATTCTACTCTTCTGTTTCAAGTGCAAGGAATTCTAATTACTAAACAATATTGCACTTATATATTACATTTCAAATGTTCAAGAAATTAATGCACACTTGCATTAATGGTATGAAGCCTGGCATGAGAACCAGTGTGGCACAGTGGTTTGAGTGTTGGGCTGTGACTCTGGAGACCAGGCCTCGATTCCCTGCTCAGCCATGAAACCCACTGGGTAACCCTGGGCAAGTCACATACTCTCAGCCTCAGGGAAAGGCAATGGCAAACCTCCTCTGAACAAATTTTGCCAAGAAAACCTCATAACATTAGGATTGCCGTAAGTCAGAAACGACCTGAAAGCACACAACAATAACAATACTGTTACCAATATACTGCTGTTGGTAAGGAGCTAAGGCTGAAAGAATAATAGCTTTCCAACCCCCATCTGCTGAGTTTCAGAGTGAAAACAAAGGATATCCTGGCTCACAGCTCTTACAAGCACTTGCATTAACTCTTTATACTGGAAAGAGTACCAAAGATGGCACTATATATATATATATATATATATATATATATATATATATATATATATAATAAACTAAATATAAATACTCTAAATAAATAATACATTTATACTGGAAAGAGTACCACAGCTAGCACTAACTGAAAGAAAGACACTGGTATGAGTTTTCATAGATTTGAGCCTCTTTCAGCTTCTTTCAGCTTCTTTCTTTCAGTTAGTCTCAAATGTGCCCCAAGATCCCTTTGCTTACTTATTTTTCAGACTGACACGCCTATGTCTTTGAATGTTACACAGATGGCAACAGTTATGCCTAGGAGATGAACTTCTTCCGGACTTCATACCCTCCAACATTTCCCAGATAAAAAGTGGGTCATATGTAGCCAAGGAACTTCACAGTGTGCTCAAGATGGGGAAAGTTTTGCACTTTAATCTCAATTTGCAGCAACTGAAGTAATAAGCTAGAGACAAAGGGGAAAGATCTTTCCTTCCTCATCCAATTTATTTATGCACAACATTTTTACACCAAAAATTAAGTTACTGATGGGATGTATACCAGGCAAAGAAAGGCCTCAAAGTAGGTGTGAATAGCCACAAAACTGACCCACACAAAATTTCAGTGCTGCACCTTAGCTGGTTTCAATTTGACCAGATTAGGCAAACAGGAGTTACCTGGGAGCCTTGCTCATTCTTGTGTTGGCAGTGCCACTCAGACCAGGCATACAGATGGCAAGAGGGCCAAATATGCCTCCTTTGAGAGGGGTGCTACAACCTAGGTGTGAATGAAGAACTACCAAGAACACCTTCCCTGTGGCTCTTGATAGACAGCAAGGAAAGATAACCCAAGAAGAGGGACTCCATCAATAATCCTAATCAGTGAGCAGGTTTGTATGGGAGACATAACTGCTTCAAAAAAGCTAGACTGCAGATATAGGGTTACAGTGAGGACAAAGCATGCCCATCTCAGACATCAGCTGGGCTGCTCCTTCCCCAGAGAGGGGATGCCACAATAAGTCATTCTGACCCATGGAAGCAGAAATGCACTGCATCTTCTAATAGTCCTTGCAATACAATGCCAGGGTTCCTAACTATGCTACTCCTGCATCAACACACATGCACAGCATTAATAAGGAACATTTCACTAGTCAGTAAACCAGTTTTCAATTACAGATACAGCTGATATCAAGTATGACTTGGTATCGATTCAAAGATGCTCCAAAACTTTGAACTCAGGAGATAACTGGCTTTAAAACCAATAGTGAATCCATGAGTTAGACAAACATAACTTATAATCCTCTTACAGTGCCGCAGGCTATGTCAGAGAAATCTTTGGGGACCCAGATTCTCTCTATGCATCAATGCTCATCTAAGGGCAAAATAAAGAAACAACAAAATCTGTTGAGTTGTGTTTTGTGGGGTTTTTGTACTAAATTTCTTCTTGCTACACTGCAAGTGACAGAGATGTCAACTATTGCTTAAGCAGGTATGAAAATGAAAGTACTGAAGTCTCCCAACCAATTCTTAATGTCTTTGTGCTGAATGGCTTTGTTGAATTATTAGACTCACAAAAAAGAAAATTCCACAGAATGGAGAGAACAGTAGAAAATCAAAGAGGTTGCCCAGCTAACTTATTGGCAGAAACTAGCAAGGCATCTCAATTGGATTTTTGCCTAGCATACCAGCAAGATGGTTGTGATTCAATCAAGGATACCACTTTGAAATGATTTGAATATGTATTTTAGGACACTACTTAATTTAGCAAAGCAATTCTTGGGGCATCTCCAATGGAATTATGTAGCCAGATTCCAAATAAAGCTTTGCACTTCCATTCATAACAAACATTCTTTTCCTTCTGGTAACATCCCAAATTCCTTAAGTCAGCCATCTGCTTGACAGCTGATTCAAGATCTTGACTGACACGTATCCTCTAACCACCGACACTGCATGCTTTTTCCTTGAATATAACCTTGCCTGCTCTGTTTGATGCAGTGCCCATGACAAATTACAGAACTTGGCACATTACACTGCATAGAAATAGAATTCCACACTTCTTCCATTCCTTACGCACAGTGCACAAAGGAATCCAGTATACATAAATTGGCTCGCCCCTGAAAAAAATGATGCTGAAGCAATTTTTGTCATTAATTTTCTCCAAAAATACAGGCCAAAAGCAGGTATAGTTTCAGTGTACATGAGTTTAAACTAGCACTTGTGAATAAAAAAGATGCCAGCACTTGGATACAAGTTGGTGTAGAAGACATGTCTTGCATACTACCACTCCCTCTTTACATTTTATGTGGAGAAAATTCTTATGGTTTATGACAAGAGAATATGGAAGAACCTGGGAGATCTGGTTTTTGGTGTCCCCATGTTTCAAGCCCTCAGGGCCATGCATCAGAACTTTCCCTGAGCAATGAAAGAACTCCTGGCCTGTCTCTACCGATTAGTCTGACCCATTGGTTCCCCTGAGTAAGAAGGTCTTAAAAGATTTCCTGGCCAAATTGGAATTTTGTTTGGACATCAATGATACCCACTGGGGAGAACTTTGGATCATGAGCTATGGCTCCTGCTTATATTTCAGCTCTAATACCTAAAGCAGGGTGGAGTTTCTTCACATTTTAAAAAAAGCCTCTTTGATTCCACACCATGTCAGGCTAAATCTCTTTGGAGAGGTCCTTCTTTAAAAAAACAACAACACATTGTTTTGAAATCAAGCTAAAATGCATACATAACATGTCAACAGCGAGGAGAAACCCATGGACAAATTAAGATATATCTAGATAAAGGGTAACTCCGATTGACATGGTTCTCACACTATGCTTAATGGTTGACCTTGGGGTGTGCAGAAATTTCTTTAAGTGCATAGGAAGCACAGTATTGCTGGTACTCCCTCAATCTGCCGTTCTACATTAATCATATCAGAGAAGATAATATCAAAGAATTACAGAATCATAGAACTGGAAGAGACTGCAACGGTGATCTAGTCCAAGACCCTTTCATGCAGGAGAGCACAGCTAAAGTGCTCACTATCATATTTTAATGGGGGGG